TGCTTCAAGATGAAGCTGATATCACTACACCGCAAAACTTAACTTAGAGAGGTGCTCACTCACACAAGAGACTCGGGCTTCTCTCGGGGGTTGCTGGGTTGTGGCTGGTGAAGACTGAGTAGTAGCTGGCTACCTCCTGCGCTGGTCAGCAGCAGCGGCCGAACATCAAGACTTCATCGACGCGCGTTCCCCAATCATATGCGGAAATTATCGGACATGACCTGCGAGCGATGGCTTCTCCTGAGGCAGGCCGAAAGTCGAAGATCGGAGCTTGGGGCTTGAGTGTCGCATCGAAACCTATCCTGGAAGCGTGAGCCATCGTACGTGCCAACAGAATATATTCAGCAGAAATGAACAAACTCCAAAGCTCCACTAAGCATGCAAACCGAATTAGTTCGGCGGATTCACCTGTAAGTAACGCTGTCGTTTGATTCTTCAGATTTGTCTGCTTGTGGCATAATGAAGGTCAAGCCAGGCCACTCTACACAACAAGCATGTGTGCCAGCTCAGCAAATTGAAAACTGCAGCCAGATTCAGCCAAGCATCTCATGGCGAATTGCTTTCTGCAGCTTTTTCAAGTGGCCAAGAACTTCCATACGGAGGCTGTCATTTTCGCGCTTCATTTCTGCCATCATGTTCTGCACCGCTTTGGTTGCCAGCCTAACATGCGAGCAATCAACTTGCAGGAGATTGACACGATGGCTGGGCAACTGCCCATTGGATTCCGACATTTTGGCATAGTCTGTCACTAGACAGTGGCCAACGTCCCCTATAAATGACGGTTTGATCCTCCCTCCCTTCCTCCCTCCCTCCCGCGCTCCCTCTCTGTCTCTCCGTTAAATGACACTACCCTGGAATGTTCCCAAATGAACATGAGGCATTATCCAATCCTACAGTCCAGAACGGCATTTGGCTCAAGACCGGACAGCACAGGCTTGGTCGCACGAAGGAGTGCTCGACTGGGAAAGGGATTGATCTCAGTTGGTTGCGCCTGTTTAGATTGTAGCTTTGACTTTACATGGTAGCGGAGCTTCGGCTCCAGAACCAGGGAGTGAGAGAATGGACTTTGGAGTGAGAGGCATTGGCGGAGAGATAACCTCCAGCATTTCAGGGTGAACTGGAGAAAAGTGAGGATTGGGCTTGGCAACTGAAACAACACGATATGCTGACCGTACAAACCCGTTGCGAAACAGATGATGGACGATGCCGAAGGATCGAATCGTGTGATTGATGATGATCTGTGTGAGGTGTTTGATGTGCAACAGACCAGGACACAGAATAGACACAGAAATATCAACTGTCACTGTTCTCGTGCCAACTGGCTTACGTGCTGGCACAAATCACTGATGGTGCCGCCAACGAGGACACAGAGAAGGGATTTGAGATTTGGCGGCGATTGCACAATCAGTTTTCACTGCCAGAAAGAGCGACAGCCACGAGCTTGTTGAATGAGGTCATTGGCTTCCGCTTGAGAAATGCTCACCTGGAGAGTGACCTGACTGAGTTCATGGTTCTCAAGAATAGTTGTGAGAAGACAGCTGGAAGACCATTGGACAATGACATCTTGATCACGTTGCTAGTGGAGAAGACTGTGGGTCCGTTGCAGCAGCATCTCCGACTAAATTTGAGGAGCATCAATACATTCAATGAAGCATTGCAGATTGTGTATAGCTACATCAAGAGTAGGCATCTGACTGTGACGAGTGGTAGGATTGATCACCACGGCCAAGCAGATATGGATGTTGGAGCACTGAAAGGAAAGGATGGAAAGGAAAAGGAATGAAAGGAGGAAGAGGAATGTACAAAGGCAAACGAAAAGGATTCAAGTCAAAGGAATGTTTATGTCCAAAGGAAAGGAAAGAAAGGACACAAAAGGAAAAGGAAAGGGACAATTAATGAGAGGAATGAAAGGCAAAGAAAAAGGCCAAGGATGTTTCTGTGTGGTGACCCAAACCACTGGAATTAGGAATGTCTGAAAGGAGGTAAAGGTAGAATGTCAGCTGTGACTGGTGAAGAGAACCGGCAGGACAACCAGCAAGGAGAATGGAATCAGGATTGGAATCAGGATGACAAATTGTACTCTGACGATTGGACATGGGATGAATCGGATTGGGATGCTGAGTGGCTTGGTTCTGTTGACGATTGGTCCGGTGACGGGTCATGCTTCGATGACGATTGGAGTTATTGGCCTCAGGAATGGTCCTGGAACACTCAGGATTGGTTGACACCTGAGGCTCAAATGAGTTCGAATGGTGCCGTGAGCTCAGGAGATATCATGTCCCTCAGGACACCGCCAAGACTGAACCACCACCGCCAACGAATGTTTCCGCTGTGACTGTCGAACCTTCGGATCAGAATGTGCCGAGAGTTGCGTAGACTATCCGGAGAGCGAAGCCTGGACTGATGACGAATCTGTTCGTTGATTGGGCACTGCGTTCCGGAGTGCCTCCAATGCCCAATGCCCAATGCCGACCCCGAGTGTGCCGAACCTGGCGCAAGTGTTCGAGGATGATCCGATTGAGTTTGATTTGACGACAGCTTGGATGAGTTTCACATGCAAGCTGGACTGGCTGACAAGACTTGGATATTGTTCGACAGTGGTGCTTGCGCAAACTGTTGTCCTCAATGGTTCTGGTTTGCACAGGCATATCCGATTTTGCTGTGGCATAAGACCGTCACTGTGGAGCTTGTCTGGGAAGACACTGGACGTGCAAGGTCGGAAGCCTGTTCAGCTTGACTGTGGCAATGGCCATTCGTTGAGAGTGCAACTTTATGTTTGCACTGCCATTCCTCAGTGTTGCACGGCGGTTGTTGCAAGATTTCTGGACTGTAACCGCGAAAGGTTACCTTGTGTGATTGACCCGACTGGCAATCCTGTGCCGATTGCGCGGCAAGGAACAGTGGTGTATTTGACGCCGACTGTCATCCCTTACGCCGTGGCAAATGCGGCGAGACTGGCAGCGAGCTGTTTTCCAGAAGTAATGTCGGGAATGGAGAAAGATCTCGGTGCCTGGGAACTGCGTGGTGTGTCTGATGTGCATTGCCCTTCGGTTGACCACCTTTGTCAGATTGGTGCCTTGATTGCCGCAGCTTAAGGAATGAAGTCCTCCGATGGGGTCCCGATGGGACACCTGGTGAAGAAGAAGGATCGCTAACCAGTGATCCAGATTGGCTCTTCGTGTAAAATTATGGCGACTGAGAATGACCTTCCAAAGAGAACATGGTGTTGAATGCTACTGCTATCCAGACTGGGTATTCAATGGCTGTTGTTTTGCCGTCGAAAGGGAGTGTTGAGAAGTATGCCGTTGCGGAGTTGAGGATTTTTTTGTTTGAGACTGGTAGGACTTTTGGGATTTTCAAGCATGACAAGGAAGCGCCACTGAAGACAGTGGCGAGTGACTTGTACAAGACGGTTGGAAGATTGTCAATGTGCGCCGCGCCCACTGGGCACTTCGAAAGCCAAGGCAGTGTTGGAACCCCATGGTCGTTGTATGCACAACTGTGAACACTGTTGTCTCAACTCGAGGAGTCGACTGGGTTGAAGTTGAGCTCGGCATCACCAATCCGCGCCGAAGCTCTCTCTCTCCTCTCTCTTCCTCCTTCGGGTGTAGGGGATTTGCTCAAGCTTCCAGGCACCAAAGCTCTCTCTCCATCTTTCTTTCACATTTCGACTACAGCCAAGAGAAGGCGGGTCCCCACCCACTCCGCGCGAGAGCTCCCTCTCTCTCTCTCGCTCTCTCTCCCGGGCATGAGGGCCGGTCAAAGCCCCCGGGCTTCAAGCCCACCCGATCTTTTATCAGGTACAGGGGATTGACGAAAGCACATAGATCATCATTTGGATAAGGCCATAAAGAATACCATGACGGGAAGATGATGATTCTCTCTCTCTCTCTCTCTCTCTCTACCAGGTGGGAAAGCTCGGGAAGCGTCCAGTCCCAAGCGCGGTCTCAGGGACGAGTCAAGCCCCCCGGCCCAGCTGGGCGCGCTCACTCTCTCTCTCTCGCCCTGTCTCTGCCGTGCCATCCTCAAGGGTCTGGCGAGAATGCAGGCTGTACTGTGGAATTCTGTGGTGAGTTCTGTTTCTGCCAAGCTCTGGGGGGAGTTGAACATGTCTAGGGGTTCAGAGGCAGCCGAAGCCGCAGCGGCGCGACGGTGTCACTCTTCTTGATCTCGCCCCGGATTTTCAGCAATCCGTGGACGAGCTCCGTAGCCTGCCAGCCGTCTCAAGCCCAGTGCTGATGGTGATTCAGATGATGATCACAATGGAGCTGAAGATGGGTAGAGGAAATCAAAGCCGGAGATGGGACACCGCCGCTGCACATGGTCGTGGCGAAAGTGCCGATGGCGACGGCGATGATATTGCTGGTGACGATGGCCATGACATGTATTGTGATATTGATGCCGAAGTTGGTTATGCTGAGCGTCACCATCTGCACCATTTCCGCCATTCATCGCCACTATCTTCGACGATCGATCATGGCCGGATCACCGTCGAATCAGAGACATCAACATCAACATCGTCACCATCATCACAGCTCTCACCTTCGTACGAGTAAACCTCAGAGTCGCCACTGGTGACCCGTCACGACATCAGACCCAATCGCATCCGGGCAGCGGCATTCTCCCCATTTATCCGATTTATCTTCCAACTGACAACAACCACAAGGATCACGACATCACGATCCATGTTCGCTTCCGCTGTCAATATCATCCGCAGATTGTTCGTGCCACTCTCCATTAATCATGATATTGATGTTCGTTTGTCCCTAGAACGGTAGGTGCGGCTGAGGTTCAGGAAGTGGGCGCACCTGGGTGGAAGAGCCTTTGCTTCCTGGGTTCCCCTCAGAGTTCGCGGGCCCCACGGGATACTGCCCATCTGGAGTCCATTTAGATGTCCCTCCTGATTAGGATAGGAAGCCGCACCAATCGTAATTGCCTTGCATGGTCCAATCATGGGGCCATGTGTGCTCGGAGAATAAACTGGAAACCCACACCCCAGCCTGAAGTGTACCGCTGCCATCTGCATCGATGATCTCGAAGAGGTGGGCACCTACAGCGTAATACGATAGTTGAACAGGAGCGCAATTCGCTTGCTCTTGCTCACGGTGCCCATCGGCGATGCCCATAGTTCTCCCGTTTCAAAGCTTCAAGGCTTTTTCGGCATGTCTGGGATGTAGAGAAGCCTGGATCCAAACCAGGACAACCCCAAGGCCTGTCCACGCCACTGCAAATGTTGGAGCCTTCGTGTTCTTTTTTCTTGACTGGGGGGGTCCTTTTCAAGACATGCTTCGCTTGTAATTTCCGAGGTTTGCGCTGTGCAGACAGGGCTCGACCAAAGTTGAGGTCTGTAGAAATTCTAGGTTTTCCGTAGCTCAATGTTCGAACAACCACAACACAACAAACGCCAACATGGCGAACACCTAAAGTCACAGAAAGCTGCGTCAGAACAGGAGTCCAGCACAGAGAGCTCGGAATGAAAAACAAGAAGAACATCAGGGTCGAACAGACCTGTGTTTCGCAGGAGCGCCTCTCTGGCCTTGACTTTCGGCACTGGCCCGAAAGTAGAGAGACAAGAGGGCAGGTGTTACGTAGTTTGGGCCTTTCGCTTTTGTTGCAGGTGCAGGCTGCTCTGAATTACAATCATGTATGCATGACAAACATCAGAGAATGTCTTGGCGGGTCGCGGCTTACACACATAAGTCACATAAGACAATCTCCAACCATCCAAGCAAGACTTCCCACTTCTGAACTCGGACTACCCCAGTAGCTTCCGGGACGTGGCTCTTTCGTTGTCACATGACAACACCACCCTGCAGGGCATGCTGTGAAGCTGCAACACAAAAACCCTGACATTGGCAGGGCACGCTCTGGTGGAATGTCCAACTCGTCCATTAAGGAGTGGACTCCACGATCCTGACATCTCAATAAACATGAGAGCTTAACCCGCCGCCAATCACTAAAACATGGCCACTGATAGTCACAATGCTTGGGTGGGAGGATACAGAAAATATACACCGGCCGGCTCAGCACTGCATGGCTGTCCTGGAGCATGATGAGGAAAAGCTCTTTGTTGATCGCAATGTCCTTCCAAAGACCACTGCGATGGCGGACTCCCAGCGCGAGGCTCTGAAAGATTAGCGAGGGAAAGGCAAATGTTTTTGAACCGTCCAAGCACTCACGGGTGCAAACATCGTGGGATCCGCAGGCGAGACTAAGCTCCGGCCTCATGGAGCTCGTCGTCCGTGAGGAGGGAGGAGTAGGATGCATGGTTCAAGCTGGTGAAGTCCACGTGGTGGTCTTCCGTCTCATTAAACTGGTGGTTCGCTGCAGCGAATCCTTGGACACTTCCAGCGAAGGGATCAAGGCTGTTCCTTTTTTGGTTCACTTCAACGGTGTCGAGCGGCCGCGGTTTTGCTTGCGAAGCTCGGTATGTGCTCCCTCATGTCCGCCAAACAACAATCGGACTTAGTGGATGCTGCGTCCACGGCACGCCACCTTCACAGAATCTGCAGTCTCTCGACCAAACGATCTATCCCTTTGTGTTGGACGGAAAGGAAACCTCCTCTACAACTCATGAGCTTATCATACATGTACCATTGGTTTAAGCCGTCATGGCTCCAAAAGGAGCATAAACTCTAAGCCTCTAAGCAGCAAGTCGGCTGATCTATTTAATCTGGGCTCTTTTGAGAAGCTCACGAGTACATCGTGCGATGCGGAGCGACTCGCGTGAGTACTGCTCCGCATTCAAGGACTCATTTTCCTGACACAAGCATTTGAGCCGCTTCTGTTTCCCACATTGGCCTACATGATGTTCGGTGACATGATGACGAATGAGACTAATGCATGTAATATGCACTTGCTTGTTGGACTGCTGCTACAGCATTCAGGGCCCTACCATGCTTTCATTGTTGCTTCATTCTGTTTGTGGTTAGATGATTTCTTTTGTAGGTTTATGCTATTTTGTTGCTGTTGTTGATGGTTGCACTTAAATAGAAACACACAAAACAAACAGAACTAAAACAACTCTTACATGCTCAGCATTTACGGCTTCTAGTGGCTGCTGTATGCAATGTAATCGTTCGGGTACGTTTCGCAAGGTGCATGGTCAATGATTTTGGGTTTCTTTTTGGGCATCTTATCTGAGTGAAGGTCGTTCGTAGTCTGTCCTTGTTCCTGTCCTCGTCTCATGTCCTGGGTGGGTACTGGAAGGCCAGGCCGAACCGTCCGGCCGGGTGATCACTGACACTTGAAACATCTTGCATACTACATACAGCAGACCCTGGAGTTGAATGGCGTCTTAAAGCACAGATCCATTTGTGCAATACGGCTTATGTTGCCAAGGACAAGACGTGACTACATCCCCCAGTGGCGCAACCATCGTAAGCATCTGCAGCGACATACAAGGACGGCAGTAAACAACAACGACATTACGGAAGCATCGAACCAGCTCGGTCGGCAAGAGCGAAGCGATGGGCACATGTCCCAGAAGCACGCATAGCATTCCGACCATGGTCTGTTGCATGCTCCCATCGAAACGATTTTGAACAGCGGAAGTTTCCAGACAAAAACTCGTATACAAACCACCCATACATGCGTAGAGCGCGCCTTAAACAACATAAAAGTTTGTTGTGAAGTAGCCACACAGTGGTAAATACAAAACAACCTGCCATAAATGTGATCATGCCGATCCATGAAACAATCCATACGTAATCATCCAAAGACTGAAATCATTGGGCGACATGGGGGCTGTAGTAGGACCTGGTTATCACAATGCTGACATGCAAAATGTCAGAATGAGTAGAAGCAGGCACGCACAGACAACTTGTAGGTATGAGGCTCCCAAAAAGAGGGCAGGTATGTCGTCTGAAAAAAGACTTTAATGATGAGGCAGGAACACGAAAAGCCTTGCGGTTGGACGGAAAATGACATCTTGGCCTGGCCATGTAGCTGGGTCAGCAGACCAGTTGTCACAAGCTTGCACACCCACAACCCGAAGCAAGCCAGGTCTGAGGACTGCAGGCGATGTTGCGCTTTGGAGGCTATGTCTACCGGTTTGAATTCGCCGGTGAACCGTGAGTTACTAAAATTTGATTGCGAAATCATCGTCCGACTACCTGTGCATCCTCGAAGGGCTTGCACTATGCTGATTATCTACATCCACAGCACCAGCCTTGGCTGCCTTCATGGTGATATCCACCTGCGGCCCCACCGCTTATGGATCGCTCCCAGGGGCACACACCGTTGAAATGTCACCCTCGGGAATTAGACACAACAAGAGAACGTCAATGATGAAAGCTTTCGCAGCTCTAGGCATTCCCTATGTACATGTGTATATATATATATATATATTCATGTATATATGTACATATGTATGTATATATATATATACATATGTATATATATATGTGTGTGTATATCTATATATATATATGTGTGTGTGTGTATGTGTGTATCTATGTATGTATGTATGTATGTATGTATGTATGTATGTATATATATATATATATGGTGTCGGAAAGCCAAACGCAGCGTCGCGAGTGATTCTGATGGGGCTGATGCGGAGAGCATGTAGGGTTGACCGGCGACCTCGATAGGTTTCATGGTGCAGGGTGTCCAGGAATCGATGCTTCATGAAACCGAGCAGCATAGACTGCCAGAATCACATTGAAGATGCCCATAGTCACAAGCCTCAGGTGAACAAGCTTGCTGGCACCATATCGCTTGAAAGATATGGTCCGCTGCTATGTTCGCGAATTTCAGCTGACCTTTTTCGGAACCTCGACTGGTTCAGACTGTCTGGTGCCAGTAACAGTGATGGGGGTTGGGGCCAGCAGAAAAAAGCAAGTAGAAGCAGGCGGCAAGCCATACATGGCAACTATATATTTCTACATTGGAAAAATAACATGAGCAAGATCCACTGTCAGGCTACTTGTCGCTCGTTCGAATTAAGCAGCCGAGAAGAAGCTTTCGCAGGAACAAAGCTAGCATTGCAGCCGAGCCAAGCAAACAGTTAGATAGAAGCGGAACCAAACACGACAGTAGAAGAGCAAGAACTGCATAGAAGCAGAAGTAGAAGCAGGCACTGGCAATCGTCGGAGAGACAGTGTTGTACTAGTAACGGTATAGCGGAATGAGTGAGTAAGTGAGTAGGAAAACAGCAACTGTCATGGCAACAGCGACAGCAAAGCAACAGTAACTGCAACGATCAGAACAACAATAATACTAAGAGTAGGAGTAATACTATTACATCAGTGATGGTACATATCAATCGTAATCGTATGTGCCAAGGTAATTTCCCCCTCGAAAATAAAAGTCCAGTTATGTAAGCACGCCACGAGCACCTTTTGTGCATCGCCGCACAGTCGACATGCTTGCCTCCCATCAGATCCAGACACATGGCCACCATGCTTCCCCACATGTACAGGCGGGAATGCGGCACTGTAGCTCGACCGCATATTATGGCGGCGGGATGGAGGGCCACGGCTGCCATTTTATTCCACCAAGTACTGGGGGATTCAAAAATCTGGAGCAGCAGCAGTAGCAATAGAAGTAGCCGTAG